AATAATAATAAAATAATAAAAATAAAACGCAGGTTTACTGTTGCCTGGCTCCTGCAAGTCTTGATGATTAAGAGCTGGCAGTGGTGCTGGGAATGGGTGGCTCGGTGCCGTGCTGAGAGCTTCCCAAGGCACCAGCCCTGTCTGTGGTCCCATCAGCCAGCGCCACTCTTCCCGGCTGGGCTTCCCATCGCTGCTCCTTTCTCTCCACATTGGAATGGGCTGCCCAAGGAAATGGTGAAGTAACCATCCCTGGCAGTGTTTAAGAAAGGTGTAGATGAGACACTTAGGGACATGGTTTAACAGGCATGGTGGTGATGGATTTATGGTTGGACTTGATCTTTTCCAACCGTAAGATCTAACCATATGATCCCACATCTCTGTGGAGACGCGCCCCATCTTTGGAGTTGAACAAGAGGGAAGGAGCAGTGCACGGATGGGGTTAAGAGCAGGGCAGAGCTCCGCTGGAAAGCCCAGTGTTTCTGCCTTYGAAAGGCTGGGTTTGTTTAGCTGCACTCAAGTGGCTCAAAGCCCGACAGCCAAGKCATCTGGAGGCTACAAAGTCAAGTAGAAATAAAACGAATGAAGTTCCTTGTCTATCTCTCCTTACGCAAATTGATAAGAATGCCATATATGTGCAGAAGTACTAAAAATGAGGGGAGGTGGCGGGGAACAAGGTACAAAGCCTCGGCAAGCCCAGCCTTCGTGACCAATGACCACCGCACCCTCCACCAGAAGTGCTGTTTTATCTGAAACTTTGTTCTCTGGGCTGGGATGGGAGTGSGGCATCATGCCCTAGGTTGGCCAGCAGCTTATGGGGTCCCTGAGCACTCCTGAGCTGCCCATGGAGCGAGGGGCTGGCGCCTGGGTGCTGTGCGCAAGTGTCCTCTCTCTGGCCTCCCTCCAAGAGCAAGGGACAACATGGTGACCTGCTGGTGACCCATCTGCCAAGGGACTGGGCTTGTGGGTTTGTTGGTATCAGAGAGCRTATGCAGTAAAACCCTTACTGTCACAGGAAGGGTAATGCTCAGTCCTGTGCAAGGGGTGGAATGAGCGTAGGCTTTCTGTAGAAATAAATGGTGGTCAAAGGGTGGTTCTGGGCATCCCTCAGCTATGACTGTGACTTTACTGTGACACCTGACACAAAATACAAGGCAATCAAAATGGGGCCTGCTGCTGCATGGGGCAATGCCAAGCCAATTCTTATTGATCTTTTTTTTTCTTCTTCTTCTTTTGGCTGCAAATGGAGTATGAGAATTTTAAGGTGGAGATGTTAGTTTTTAAGGATATTGAAATCCTGGCTCAGTCTAAAAAATATGGAGGCTTCAGACTAATCTTTGTGACAGATGCACTGGAAACTATGAATCCAGCCTASGTGGCCCTTTCCCTCCTAGTCTGATAAACTCCCAAGGCTCTGCTGCTGGCAGTAATTCCCTTTAAAGCCTGCACGATGTTGGTCATCTAAAACACAAGAACAGAGACATTTCTTTGCAGAAAAGAGCTTACTTTCTGTCTCCCTCCATTACATTTCTGTTCTCATACAAGCCACTCAAGCAAAGGAAGGGAGGAGAGCTCAGGATAGCTCTATGGACACAGAAATAATAGACCTGCCTGTGACTTGTGGATAAATGGGCATAGGCAGGGATACCTGAGCAATGGAAAACTCAGCTGGGCCCATGTGAGTGGGAGGATTCTTTTCAGAGGAGAAGGAGGTTCTCAGGAGCTGAGAAGAGAGGAAAAGCTGCAGCCTAGGTTGTGGCCAGGTGTCAGAAGGGGAAGAAGATAATTCAGGAGAGATGCAGGATTTTGTGGCACAAAGGAGCAACAAAAATCCTTGGAGACCCACTTCAAGCACGGCTCTATTTCTGCCACAGCAATAGTTGAATCCCTGCTACCTAAAGGGGTCATGGCTAGATTCAATTGCAAGGTTCCAGGATGCCCTGGGGAATACCAGTTGCATGTAAGCTCAAGGCTGAAATTCCAGGACCTTCTTCTATCACTTGTAAAGGTGTTGGATAACAGTTACAGCTGAAGCTTTTGTTTCTTCAGGGGTTTCTCTGAAGTCCCAGAAAATTGTATTTGGTTTGTAAAACTAATCTCAACCAACCTGTGCAGAAGGCTTGTGTACCTCCACAATGATTTGTGTCCGCAGGCATGGGCGGCAGGCACAGGCTCTGGGGAGGCTGGGAGGAGGACTGCTTGCTAACACCTTTCAAGGGGTTGTGACTCACACATGCGCAACCTGCCTCAGGCAAACATGCTGCTCATAGTCATGCACCTGCCCCGAGAGCTATACAAGCCACTCTTATTTAATGCTTACCTCTGAGGTGCAAGGAACAAAGCGTCCCGGGTGGAGACAGAAGGGTGGGGTGCCCCCACCCCGCTATTCTTAGGGTGTATGGGAGGGAAATGGGTCTCCAGCCGCCTGCCAGATCCAGCTGTAGTCACAGCCTTGGAGTTCCTTCCTGGTCTCTCATCAGTAGTGCTAATACTAGACCTAAAGGACAGGCTGTCAGAAAAGTGTGTATTCTCACGTGTATCACAGGGAAACCAGGTGGATATTGAGAAATGGATTYCCTTCATTCTAATCACTTGGAAAGAGAGGCAGAATTCATAGTAATTCTTCCAGTAAAGTCTCTTCCTTTTACATTTCTCAGTCTCTCTGATTTCATCTTCTCTGCAATCCCATCATTCTTAATCCAGGTACTGGAGAGCCTTAGGTTGCCTGGAAAATTGTTGGTATCTGTGTGGTGGTGACTGTGCCCAGCTTTCCTGCCACCTACAGGATCCTAGGAGATGGACTTGCCCCAGGAAAAGAGTCCTGCTTTCTCAGGCTGGTGCCTGCAGCAATACCTGCCCCAGGACAAGCAAGAACGAGTCAGGGCCTGCCTATCAGGAAGAAGAAATCCAGGCTGTGGGGGAAGCAAGGGTGTGGGCTGGGTAGATAGTCCACGTGCAAGAGTCTTCAAACAGGTGACAAGTGAGCAAAAATGAATCACCTTGGGCAGCAGTGACAAAGCCAGGTCTAGCCTCCTTTGGTCTAAGTGATGCTGTTACCCTGCAGAAGAGTTTAGAAGAAAAGGCAAGGGTAAAGCAGTTATGGTAAGGAAGGGATAATAATTTTCTTAATGACGCTTGGTATGCTGTGTCAGGCTAGCCACATGGCATGTGTTCAACTCTGCTATCTGTATGACAGCTTTTTCTCATAAATAGTTGGAGTTCACGTGCCTGAATTGTAACAGGGAAGATTTGCTCTTTGGACTGTCTGCTATTTGTAATACCTCTTAGCCAGAAATAACTAAAAGCTTTTCTAAAAAATCTGGATTTTGCAACATATAAAGCAATGAATCAGGCAATAGGTTCTCCAGCTTTTAGATTATCAGAGGATCTGCTTTCATCTCATGTTTGGCAGGGTCTGCAACGTTTTGTTCCAAGCCACATTTGGTCAAAGGTTGCCTACATCCAGATTTGATCTACAAAGCAATTTTATGTGATCCCTGGGTATGCTGACTGGTCAAAAAGATTGACAAGGTCAGGGATGGAGAGTGATCTCCCAGGGCTCCCATTTCAGATACAGTGCCATCCAGGTGCATTGGACCAGTCTCCCACCACCTGGTTGGGAATAAAAATGGCTTTGGATCCTGGAAATAGTGGACAGCCTTATCCACACCTTCATAGGAAAATGGTATCATGTTCTGCTGCAGGAACAACRGTGAAAGCACTGTAAGTCTTTCCATGATAGTATTCAAACAACTGCAGAGATCATGGTAAGAAATTCTGGTTCTGTCTCTGCCACTGTTGGCAGTCTTGCCTACCTTGAAGAAGCASCTACTGAGGAAGCTGAAGGTGGCACTTAGAGAGGTCATAGAATGAATCATAGCATGCCGAAGGTTGGAAGGGACCTCAGAGGTCATCGAGTCCAACCCCCCTGCTCACGCAGGGTCACCTAGAGCACGTGGCACAGGGCTGCATCCAAGCGGGTTTTAAAGATCTCCARAGAAGGAGACTCCACAACCTCTCTGGGCAGCCTGTTCCAGTGCTTTGTCACCCTCACAGTGAAGAAATGCTTCCTTAAGTTCCTGTGGAACTTCCGATGCTTCAGTTTGAAGCCATTTCCTCTAGTCCTATCACTGTCCACCACTGAAAAGAGGCYGCCCCCCTCCTCCYCACTGCCTCCCTTGAGGTATTTATACACGCTGATCAGGTCCCCCCTCAGCCTCCTCTTCTCCAGGCTGAACAGACCCAGCTCYCTCAGCCTTTGYTCAYAGGGCAGATGTTCCAGGCCCCTGATCATCCTGGTAGCCCTGCGCTGGACTCTCTCCAGCAGCTCCACATCCCTCTTGTACTGGGGAGCCCAGAACTGGACGCAGTACTCCAGATGTGGCCTCACCAGGGCTGAGTAGAGGGGGATGATCACTTCCCTCGACCTGCTGGAGACGCTTTTCTTAATGCACCCCASGATCCTGTTGGCCTTCTTGGCCACCAGGGCACACTGCTGTCTCATGGTCAACTTGTCGTCCACCATGACGCCCAGGTCCCTCTCTGYGGGGCTGCTCTCCAGCAGGTCCACCCCTAATCTGTACTGGTGTCCAGGGTTATTCCTCCCCAAGTGCAGGACCCTGCACTTGCCTCTGTTGAACCTCATGAGGTTTCTCGCCACCCAGTCCTCCAGTCTGTCCAGGTCCCACARTGCTCTGTTCCTCAATAAGCTTTTTGTGGTTTATTCATAATCTTGTATCATCTTATCTATGCTTATTTTGAAAAACTATGGGGAAACATGGAGTTTGTACCTCCAGCAAGAGAAGTCACTAGTGTAGATACCAAGATACCATAACAGAAGAGCTGTGTTGAAGTTGCTTTTCTTTCTTTCTGCTCATTTTGGACTCATTTCAACCTTCGACTCATTTCCTCCTCCTCCTCCTCCTCCCCCTCCTCCTCCCCCTCATTTTCACTCTCTGTACCTTTCAAAGAAGGGCTTCACTGGTGATGGAACCTGAATTTATTTCTCGAAGAGGTCTCACACCTCTGACTAGTGCCTTTGTGCCACTCTCCCTAGAGAGGGCTGAATTCCGTACAGGGAGCCTGGGCCCAGACTGAAGGAATTCAGTGGGATTGTTACTTGGCCTGGCTCCCATGAGCCAGCTGCAACCTGACTGCCTCCTTCCCTCACACCTGATTTGGAGCTGGTGCCCTGGATTCATTTCCCAGCATTGGAAGGGAAAGGGAATTACTCTTAGCAAGATGTTGCCAAGGCATATGCCGTAGAGTGTGTGTATGTGGCATGACAAAAACAGAGAAATTACCTGTTTGATCTCCTGGTAGTGCTGCATGAGAAGGTATGGTATTGGGGCAAATAGTACACTCTAGAATAAACTTGGCTCCTACAGAGGAAGAGCAAGGTGAGTAGATGGTACTCATTTCATATCTATCTGGGCGTAGGTGGTGTTTCTAGCCAGATGGAAATGTAAAACTGTGAGTTTTGCTCATGCTGGGAGTTTGCATGGGTGCTGGTGTGTTGATGAAGCTCATTCAAAAGGGAGTAAATCCACAGAACCATGCCAGTCCTTCATAGTTAAGTATCAGGAAGAGTTTGAGGTAACAACTTCAAGCCTGAGATAGTTCCTGCTCTTAAACTACTATGAAGCAGGGCTGGAGGTGTGGAAACAGGGTGGCAGATTCTGTCTATCCTTATCCTCAGGGGATAATTTCAATTTCTGGATGAAGCCTGTTTTATTGGTCTCTTTGAACACTGTCTTTTGTTTTCATAGGCTGCATGAAGAATTAAAGATGGCAAAAGATGATAACAGCGTACGCATCTTTCAGGGTCTATTAATCCTGGGCAATGTGGTCATTGGGGTAAGTGGAGAAGGGCAAGGAAGGGTGGGGACTTCCTTTCAGGATAGCACTTCTCAAAACAGCAGTTTTCAGTCATGAAATCCTTCACATGTGAAGTCCACATATAAATGGACAAGTATGAGAGGATGGGAAAGRGGATTTATGCTAAATGTACTCTTGAATGGGGGTGGAGAGGGGATGCTGCAATGACAGCAGGACATGATCCACAGACCACCATAAGCTCTGGAGGAACAACCCTTGCTGTTGACCAATATGCTTCCAGCCAAGCCTCCAGAAAGCCCTTTCACAGAGATGTGAAAGGTTGTATGAACTCCCTCTTATAAATATCTTCAAGCTCTAGGGTTGACTCTTTGGGAATACTATGCCCTGCCTGCAATTCTTGAAAACAAAAAAGGCAAGCAAATTAAAAAAAAAAAAAAAAAAAACACCAAAAAAACCCAACAAAAATCCCTGTAGAGTTGGGAAGGGCAATTTCAAAGTAGTTCTGAGCAGCTCCTGCTCAGCAGGAAGCTGAATGAAAGGAACAGGATATCTTCATTTCTTCTTCTTCGCTGTTTCTTTTGGGGAAACTATCTAATAAATTTCCCTGACTTGGCCTTTCAGATGTGTGGAATTGCCCTGACAGCAGAATGCATTTTCTTCGTGTCTGATCCCCACGGTCTCTACCCTCTGCTGGAAGCTGCAGATAATGATGACATCTATGCTGCTGCCTGGATTGGCATCTTCGTTGGCTTTGCACTCTTTTCTCTTTCTATCCTTGGCATCATTGGAGTCATTAAGTCCAGCAGGACCTTGCTAATGGTGGTAAGTGTAGCAAAGTTTGTCCAGCCATTGCTGTCAAGCTGAAAGGTGTTGCCTTAGCTCCCCTGCCCACCTCGGCAAACACCTACTGAACAAAACCAGGCTTTATTAATGATGAGAGGCCAAAGAGTATTCCTTCTTGAGAAAATGGCCTCAAGTTGTGCCAGGGGAGGTTCAGGTTAGATATCAGGGAAAAAATCTACACTGGAAGAGTGATGAAGCATTGGAACAGCCCAGTATAGTAGTGGAGTCACCATTCCTGGCAGTGTTCAAGAAACATGTAGATGTGGCTCTTAGGGACATGGCTTAGCAGGCACAGCATGGTGATGGGTTTATGGTTGGACTTGATGATCTTAAAGATCTTTTCCAACCATAACGATTCTATGGTTCTTCCTGAAAATGACTGTGTTCTCCCACAATTCGACCCCCATAAAAACACCGCATGGGAAGCTCCTAAATAAAGGTTGAGAGTATTAATGGTGATARCCTCAGTGGTGGTTTGAACTGACTTGCTTGACCCTGACATTGCCCTGAAGCAATTCAGAAGCATTTGTGCAGTCAGATGCAGCTGAGATACGGTTTATGATACTCATTTCACCCCACCCCTTTGCTGCCTTTCATCTGTTATATACCATTCTGTGTTGGAGCGGGTACGTAAAGACTTTCTGTACAAGGCATAAGTATGTTAGTATACCAAATATGGATGCAACTGAGAACAACAGATATTAGCAGGCAGGCAGAGATTGGAGGGGTGGGGACAGGGAGCTTTGGATAAGCCATGAACAATGCTAAGACGTGAATAGATATCTGCACAATTTCTTACTCAGTCCTTCAGGTTGATGGTTGTGAAACTTTTGTGTTTCTTTAAGGTGTTTGCCTTAAGGAAGGATAGAGCTGAAAATTCTGATAGCAGCTCCCCCTTGAATTAGTGTGGAATAGTGAGGTATCTATTTAAATAGAAAAGACAGAGATCTGACATCTTGTGCCAGGGAATTAACCAGCTAGCTGCTAATGGAAGAGAATTCCCCTACTCCAAATTCTAGTGTGTTGGTTGAAACCAAACCCTGTGGTATACGAGAAAAGCTAGGGTACAAAAGGCAGAAACTAGGAAAACAGATGCWTCAAATCTGAGGACATTATGAGATGAGAGATGAAAAACAGAGGCACAAGAACTGTAAAGTGGATATGGAAAAGGCTGAGAGGCATTGTGCTGAAAAGGAAAAAAAAAGGCAATGAAAAAGACTATGAGAGGAGCTCTTGAGGATTAGTTCTTGTTGAGGATCTCTGCTCACAAAGGAGCGGTGCTAATGCAGCCTAATGATACAAAGTAAGGAGGATCTGAATAACATACTGAATTATGCCTGCCTTATATTTCTGGAAAGTTCAAGTCCTCTTGCTAGGACTGAAAAGCTCTTGCCTGGTAGGTAGAGGTGGAAAGAGTGAAGTAGCACATACAAGTTGCCAGGGAGATGCAGCAATGAAAATGGCAAATGTTGTCCTGAAACATATCAAGCAAAGTATTTCCCCTAGAGATGGAATGGTATTAATGCTGTGCAGTGATGTTCTGATGACACTGTGTCTGAGAGAACAATTCCAGACACTCAAGAAAGAAGACTGCAAACTGAAACAACATGCAGAAATGTTCAAGATAACAGAGGGGGATGAGGGGACTAGAACAGCTTGATTTCCTTTGCCTGGAAAAGGGAAAGGAAATAAGGAAAGGAATAAAGATCTATAAAGTTTTGCACCATTGGATCTTCCTTTGAATAGGGATTTGGAAGTAATGACCTGCGTAGCTCCCTCCCAACTTAAAATACACTATTTTATAATTACATGAGGCTTTAGAGCACCCTGAAGTGAGTAATAAAAGAAAAAGGATAAATTCATTTATATTAGAGCTAGGCAAATTCTATCCTTGAGATGGATATTGGACTTCTCCTTGGAACAAGACCTGAAGAAACTGCTTAACACTTTTTTTTTTTCCCAAAAAACTAACTGCTCTCTTTCTCCTACAGTATATTATTCTGATGCTTATCACTTATGCATTTGAAATGGCTTCTTGCATCACAGCAGCAACTCACCGAGACTTTGTGAGTATTTCTTTTCTCATATATTCTTGTATACCCGTTCAGTGTAGAAATGGCATATGTGGCACAGTTTAAACTTAAAGACTACTGTTGGAAAGTCTCTAACTTGATTATTCTGATCAAGGAAATAACTTTGTTATTTGAAAAATTTAAACATATTTCTAATGCTGCCTTTGAAAGAATAWTAGTACAGATTAGTTGAATCACCAATATAGTGCTTAGTCTTTCATCTACAGAGTGATTAAGCTATCATAGATGTGGAAAGCAAATCATTAGTACTACAGGTAATGTCACAAGTAAGGAAAAGATTACATGAGTTATTGCAGCTATTGACAGGGGGCAAATGATCTGTGGGTGCTTTAGTTCCAAGTAATAAATCACATGCAAACCATAGCTTCTGCACGTCTTCTCTGGTCTGACATCTTGTAGGACCTGCTTAGGAGTCATGCTCAAGATCATGCCCTTCTGTTGCTCCTGCTCCTGAAATCCCCCTCTTTATCTTCCTATGTATAAAACTGTAAAACTGGGGTGAGGTCCAGAGCAGCATACCTGTTTTCTACCAGGAGACTGCAACAAACCAACCAAGCCACCCCACCTTAAATGACTCTGTAATTTTTTTACCTGGAAACCTATTTATATAGTTCTTGCATTCTTTTCTGTTCATCCTGCAGCTCACTCCCAATCTTTTCCTGAAGCAAATGCTGGAGAGGTATGAGAAACAAGACACAGAAAATAACAACGACAGATTGATGAGTGATGGGGTCACAAAAACATGGAATAATCTCATGCTTCAGGTAATAATAACACTGAAAATTTTCACTAATTACTAATGTTCTGTAACTCTGGAATTTCAAGTGCTCCTTGGGACCACTCAGTAATAAAAGAGAATGGCATCTGCCCTGAACTTCAGACAAAATCCTGTCAGACTCCCCATTTTGCTCATTTATCGGATGACAGACTGTCAGAGGCAGGCATTTCAAAAATCTCTTCCATAAATCTGTGGTTAATGCCTAACTGGGCATGTGCAGGATCCTCTCTCACACAGTGTTGTAACCTTGGCCCATAAAGACCATTCCCTTCTCTCTCACTGGGACAGAATCACTGCTGCGGCGTGCACGGCCCATCCGACTGGCAGCAGTATGGGTCTGCCTTCCGGAGCACACACAGCGACGCTGACTACCCTTGGCCACACCAGTGCTGCGTCTTGGATGCCCGAGAGTCTCCTGTCAACCTGGATGGCTGCAAGCTTGGAGTGCCTGGCTACTATAATAGTAATGTAAGAAAGGATCGCTTTGTCTAATTATGTATGTTGGTCCATAGTGTTTTTCTGGAATGGGAGAAAACAGGGAATAGCCTTCCTCCTTCACTGTCTGTGCTCAAAAGCTTTCCAGACATGAAGAAATACCTGTAGGGTCCTAGGCATGGTTTTGAATCCAGGTTAGACTATGATAAAAGCTTTCCTGATGGAGAAAGCGTGAAGGAAGAAAATCCTTCTAGTGCCACCAACAAGGAGTAGTACCCCTGACATACAGGTGGACATGAGCTAATTCCAACTTAGTCCTAAAGATGATTGCATACAATATGTGTGAGCTAGTCAGCAGCTCTCCTCTCCRAGGTCGCTAACACAGTCAGTGAAGAGCTGATGGCAGGGGAGGAAGMAGAGGCTGTCCTGCTGTGCTCTAGCAATCAAATAGTGGGGCAACTCTAAAAAGTCAAAGTACTTTCCTGAGGTGGATAATGTTACTGAACATGCCACTTCTAGCTGAGATTGTCAGCAGAACAGCTTCTCCTATTCAGACAAATTGCTGGCGCATAAGTATGAACATCTGCACTAACAAGCACCTCTAGAAAGCATTCAGAACTCCAAATTTGCAAGCAGTTTCTTGTTTCTGGAAGCCAACCCTGTGTGAAGTATCTGAGCTGGGCTCCTTCATATTTATAGCTAAGGGAAGTAGACTCTCTGCAATCTGTCATCAGGCAGTGAAGCTCTATCTTAACTTCTTGAGACACTGAGCTCCCCAGATTGCAATTGTAGCATGCACGTCACCTCCATCTTAGAGATGAGTTTGTAGACTAATGGTGCAAGTTCAGAGCCAATGTTGACTCATTCATGGTTGTCTTACAGGGTTGTTATGATGCTATCTCTGGACCAATGAACAGACAAGCCTGGGGTGTTGCCTGGTTTGGTTTTGCCATTCTCTGCTGGACTGTGAGTACTCATTATTTGTTCTTATTTGCTCTTTTCTTTCTGTGTTATTCCCCACCCAGCTGGGTGGAGGTGGCTGTCAGAATTGATACATTTTAAAATGGTGTCTATCAGAATTGATGCATTTAAAAATCTGTAGAATGCAGTACTTCATTCAGCAATCTGCTTGGAGCCTGTTTCTAGTAATAGAACTACATTCAGAAGCTTCCCTCCTTTCTGGCTTCTACATATTAAGAGCTAGATGTTCTTTCAGCATGCTGGAGCCTCCTGTAATCTCAGCAATACAGTATAATCATAGAATCCTTATGGTTAGAAAAGACCTTCAAGATCAGGGAGTCCAGCCATAAACCCTTCAACACCATACCTGTTAACCATGTCCCCAAGTGCCTCATCTACACTCTTCTTGAATGCTGCAAGGGATAGCGACTCCATCACTTCCATGGGCAGCCTGTTCCAATGCTTCATCACTCTTTGTGCATAGGAATTCTTCATAATGTCTAACTTAAACCTCCCCTGGTGCAACTTGAGACCATTTCCTCTTGTCTTATTGGTAGTTATTCTGGAGAAGAGATCGACCTCTGCCTCACTGCAACTTCCTTGCAGGTAGTTGTGGAGAGCAATAAGGTCTCCCCTGAGCCTCCTCTTCTCCAGACTAAATAACCTCAACTTCCTCAGTCGCTCCTCATAAGGTCCATGCTCCAGCCCCTGCACCAACTTTGTTGTCCTTCTTTGGACACACTCCAGCACCTTGATATCTTGCAGTGAGGGACCCAAAACTGAACGCATTTTTTAAGGTGCTGCCTCGCTAGCACTGAATATAAGAGTTTGAAGATACTTGTTTGTGAAGGGTGCTGGGTCATCTAAACTCAAGATAGTAGATAATTCAGTAACTTGTCCAAAGACTGCATCGATGTTTCAAGTGCTCGGGGTTTGGTAGTTTTGTGATAGATAATCCCCAGAAAGCTGAGTGTTTGCGTCAAATAGTTACATCTGTGTAGATTTTCTTGCTTCACTTTGAAGATGCTGTGCAGATAAGAATCTTGAAGCATCCCGCGCCCGTATGGGTGCTAAGCAAGAACTTGTTGCTCTTACCAGTAATGCTAAATGGGATTGGTGGGAGATGCTGGGGAGTAGAGAAATTTTAACAATTTTTTCTTTTCAGTTCTTGGTTCTCCTTGGTACTATGTTCTATTGGAGCAGAATTGAATACTGAAGGTCTGATGTCTTCACCATTGTCCTGAAGCACTGAATGAAACTGTTTTCATTCTTCTCCTGCTCCATTCTCCCTATGACAGTGAAGATTTGAAGATTTCCCCATTACCTCTCCCAGACTATTTTTGCCCCTTCAAAAGCTTGACATCATGCTTGAGATGATGGCTACAGGAAAGGAGCTTCATGCCCCTTTTTGCCTCTTGTTTTGCAGCCTTTTTGCCTTGTGGTTGAGACAAAATCCCTTTGCTGTGCAAGAAATCCTTGAAGTATAAGACAAAACATGGTCTGATTTGTTTTTTGATGGTATTGAAAATGTCCGGCTCATATACACTTGCCAGAAAAGTATCTCTCTAAAAATAGGTTGAAAGTAAAACATAACACAGAAGTTTCTGGTATGGACTATGTGAGCAAAGTGATAACCTCCTGTTGACCAATAAAGACGGGTGCTGCAAGGGAGAAGACTGGAGAAATCTCTGATGCATTTTTATCTTTCTACTTCTGTTCCCAGTCTCTGTTACCCCTTGCCTTAGAATAATACAGATTCTATAAGAGTTTAAATGTGTCAGTAGTGAAGACGTGACAGATACTTTAAAAAAAAAAAAAAAGTCTGTTGCTTGTCAAGCCCAACAAAAGACTAGCTCATTCCTCTGACATATGCTGCCTATGTTCAAGCCTACCTCTTGTCACTGATGAAACTACTGCATGCACTCCTACATTTAGAAGTGCCAGTCCATAAAATGTTCTGTTTGCTAAGAATGACTCTTTCAAAAAGCTGTATGTGCTTTGTATAAAATTTCATGCTACAAACTGTAATGTGTGCAGAATGCAAGGGCTTTGTGCTGTACCTGGCTTTGCCAAAAGGGCTTTTAGACCTCTAGACTACCATGGTGCCTGCTTCAGCTGAGCGTATGCATATTATGGTCCTGTCCCCTGCATAATTCCCCCTTCCACGTTTCCAGATCAGATGAGACAAACTGCAAATAATGGCAACAATTAACTCCTGTGAAAAATGCAGGAGCAAGGCAAGAAACTGAGCAAACCAAATTCAGTCCTTGCATCAAGAGTTAACAATTCTCACCCAGTTCAGTAGAGGCTCTTTGTTTTGGCTCACACTGATGTGGTGTCCTTTCTAACAAATGCTTCAGCAGCTACATGTGTTATGTGAAATATACTACTGTATATAATGTTTTAAGGTGAAACCTCTTCTTAATGTCTACTGGGTCAGGTTATGAGAGGTTACCAGCTGCCTTGAGTTTGAGTTTTCACTTTTGTATGTTCTTCAAAATACTAATTAAAGAGAAGTGGAAGTGAAATTTCCTTCTTGTCAAGGATCCTGTGTTCAGCAAGGAGAAATGATAAATGTTTCTATATCCTGGGACATTCTGGGCAATGTAAACACAAATCTGTAACCCCATTCTGAAGATCTGAATGCCTAATACCCTGACATACAGTGCTACCAAAAGCTGGGGGTGAAGAGTCCCTTGTGGTTGTAATGGGGGAGAGAAATAGGCAGAGCTACAAAGGTGAAGAGTTTGGAATGGAAACAGATCCCTGCCACACACCAGGGTGGGCTTTTGTGTTTATGTGTATGTGTATGTGTATGTGTATGTGTATGTGTATGTGTATGTGTATGTGTCGCCCTAAAGGAAACTCTCTTTGGGTCAGTCACTCCCAAAAGGAAGAATCTGTGGACGGCTCGCTGCTTTAATGGGGTGGTGACTTTCTTTAAGAGTCTGAACACTAATGAATAAGGCCTTTCTTTTGTCTTGAGCACTTTTTTTGTGTACGTGTGTGTATGTGTGAAATAGACCACAAGGATGATGTATGTTGCTGAAAGCTGTAAATAATACCTACATCTAAGAAAATTTAAAGAGCATCACTTTCCCTAAGCAAGCTAGCAACAGCAAAGATTTGGTTCAGTGTTCCTTGTTATGAACTGCAAATCCCCAGCACAGCAGACAGAAGTAGGGGAAGGACAGTATCAATGCACAGAGTGCAATGTCCTTCTTTGACCAAATTCCTCCAATTGTTTCTAAGTCATGGTACCTAGGTGGATGGTTACACACCTGCATAAACATCTCTTGCTTGAATAATTTCTGAAACTCAGAAGGTTCTGCAAATGCTCCCGTACTGAAATGATTTGATGTAGGACCTTCTAGGAATAAGCAAGGCCCCCTGCATATAGCATGGCTAGAAATAGGGTTTGTAGGGTGAAGACTGTAGGGCCACTATAACAAGTAATCTCAAATCTCATTTTTCCCCCTGCTGCAGACTCTATGGTCTCATTCTTACCTCCTCCTGCCTCTAAATTTAGCATCATTATGGCACTGATCTCAATATAGAGAAAATTCTGTAGGGTTTTGCAAGGGAAGAAGAACTGAGGTTAGTTTAAATAGACTGTTGAAATACTACCTTCACCAACCAGTTGCACAGGATGCAATTGACCTACAGCATAAATAGCATCTTAAGCCAATTGAGTTTGGATTTATCAAATTTGCTTTCTGCTTCCTGAGCTGTTAGCTCATTTGTCATGTTATAATTTATGTTTTATGAAAATAAAAGTTGTGATGGACAAGTGATCTGAGCACTGGTGGATCTATGCAGAAGTGCTAAGCAAGTCACAATGCAACCAGAAACACCCAGTTTTATCCTGCTAATCTTAGGAGGGAAAAGGAGACCAGGCTGATGGCTGATGTTGAGCAGGCTTGTAAAAAAAATCTGCCCAGCTTTTTCTGGTTTTTCAACTTCCGAAGGTTGATTCTGATCTCTGCAATACCCTACCTGAGATTCCAGTGGAGGGTGAGGAAGGAATGGAATCAGTGACTGGAATGGTGGGGAACTGGTTCATGTGTTGGCTAAGGCTTGTAAAGAAATCCTCCTCATTCTCAGCTGTTTGGGTCACTGCCTGGGGGTACAGATGTGCATGCTCTTTGGAGCTGGTAATATGCATAGAATGAAAACTGCCAGACTAAGACAAGACAAAGTATACATAAAAGAAATAGATGGAAACTACTGGACTGAGACAAGATGAAAAGGAAAAAAAAAAAAAAAAAAAAAAAACCCCAAAAAAAAAAGGATGAGAACTGCCAGACTAAGGCAAGATGGAGAAAAAATTCTCCAAGTGGGAGTTTTGTGCTTTGTTTGCAGACTGTGTATTTCTTTTTTGTAGGTGTGAATCTTCACAGTTCTCTCTTGGCAAAAAAAGTATGTTTCAATTCTCCCATGGAATTACCAGCTGTAATTTTAGAACATTAATTTACTGCAATATCCACAGCCCTGAGAAATCAGACACATCTCATTAAGAGGCATCCTTTGTTCATACTTAACAGAGCCCCTTTGCCTACAAGTCAACCAGAATACCAAACCCCTGCTGTTAGGAATAACCCCATGCCTTTCGAAGTCTTGAATGCTTGGAATTGGCAGCACTCAGATGTTCATCCTCCTGAACTCAGGGCAGTGGGAGCCTGCCTTTGTGTAAGTTGTCCCTTGCACACATTTCTTCAACAGGCTTAACTAGACTCTCTTTCAGAGGCGCTATTTCTCTTTACTTTTCCATTTCACTTGCACGTCATGATGCCCTGCCCCTATGTGCTGTACTTGCATATGGCCACCTACCTTACTGCCTAAACCAGCAGCGCAGTGACAGTGCTGTGTCACAGCCTCTGACCCAGATGATTTATATTCCGCGATGCTCACTACCCTGGCATCTGAGTATTTCACATTCCTGGCAAAAGGGACTTGTGCCAAAAAAAAAAAAAAAAAAAAAAAAAAAAAGAAAGAAAGGTTTATTGAGACCAAGTATGACCTAAAACTAGCTTATAATGAAGCCTCTTTCTCCCACCCCTTGGCAGTCCTGCTATCTTTGGCAATTGGGGAAAGCCTCTGCGGAGTGCAGTGTGCTGGGAACCTCCTGCAACAGTGCTGGCAGCAATCATCTGAGGCATCTCTCTAGGAGAGCCCGCCGTGGGAGTTGCTGAGGATGACTGCTGGGGAGTTATTCCCAACAGGAGGAGACGTTGAGGGTGTTTCTGATTACATTAGCCTGTGCATGAGGTGAAATTCCAGCATGGACAAGGTCACCTTGCATATTTTGCATATTCACTACCTGACAGCTAAGTGATGAGCAGTGATCTGCTCTGTCTTCCCAGTGATGTTACTGACTAAATGCACGCAGGACCAAAACTTTCCATCTCTCTATTCTTACTGGACAACACTCACTTTTAGCAGTGTTGTGGCTCGCACAGCCCCTGAAGAGGGTAAAGACATTTCTTATAATCCCTGCAGCATATTTGCTGTGAGTTAATCCAGTCTTTACACATCTCTCATGTCTCCACTCTCGAAAATACGTTATTTAAAAGAAATTGTCTCATGATACAAAAGAAGGTGAGTAAAGAAGTTTGTGAGCATCTATTTTTGATGATATAAACTTCTAACTCTTACGAAGGAAGAGAGGAAAAAGTTTGCTGATACTTTTTAGACTGTTTCAACTCTGTCTTATGTCTTAGGGATTTATTTTTTCTATTCCCTCTTCAGGTTTTGCTTATCTGGAATATTCCTCATGTTTAATAATAATCATATGCGTTACTCTCTTTTTCTCTGTCTCTGGTTGTTCTCATGTTCCTAATCATGGTTTGTTCTTAAGCAGCTACTGAGTTTTCTTTGAAGTCATTTCCCCTCACTGGATTCAAATACTTCCAGGTCTTTTAGATAAAGGATTTAAGTGAAAGCAACATGCAACAGATGTCTTGGGAGAGAAAATAAATCCAATTTAAAGATGAGTCTGAAGCTCAGGATGAAATTTCTATGAATTTTCTACATATGCAGAACCAAGCTTCTTTTACACCACCACTTGCAAGTAAGACGTGAGAGAATAGCTACTTACTTTTATCAGGGAATGAACCTTAATACTCTTGCTCTATCCCACTTTTAGGATGTACAGGATCTGGCCAGATCTGACTTTYGCAGCGCCTATTCCTTTTTGATCCTTAACTCTGAAACTGTCCCTTTACCATGTGAAGACACAATGTGTTCTTTGAAGAGTTCTTCCTGCTCAGGCAGAAAATGAACTCAGAGACCTCATGGCATTTCTCTGTCTTAGCCACTATGGCCATCCTTTTGTTATCATTGTTGCTACCTTATTGTGGCCTAAGTCTCCCACTCTGTGCTAAATTTCTTCCCTGCTCTGCTGGCCTCTCCTTTGCTGCCAATCTACTTTCAGCTCAACCCAATGAGGTGCCTGCTGGACATGTCCTGTTGTCCATGGACTCCTGTGTTGCAAGGAGGATGCACAAGATACTGGTATCAGGCTCTCTCTGGTGCTGGGTTCGCTTGCCGCTTAGTAAACAGCCACTTAATTTGCTTAATCTTGCTGAGGGACTGATTTAGCTGAAAGTATCCATGATGCTATAATTTGTGCTTTCAATACAACTCATACAGATATTTATCCTGAATCAGATCTTCAAACACCTTTTGATGTGCAAACAGGCAAAGAGCTTGTGTGAGATTGTAATGAAGCACTTCCATGTATTTAAACATGGTTTGGGGCACAAATCTCACTGGAGGATGTGCAGGTCTTTAGTGCACCATCTGCTTAATATCCATAATCCTAGGAATGCTGGCAGTTTGGGATTCTCCCCTTGTGTCATGGCCAAGTCATTATTAGATTCTGTGGCAAAAGAATACAAAAACATTGTTTCTTGTACCGTACTCACAATTGGCATGGGCTAATAACAATTACAGAGTTCAACAGACATGCTTTTCTGTCCTACTTTGTGTGCCAGTTGCCATGGTAAGCAGGAAGCACAATCTAGGCATTTTCCTAAAGGGAAACTGAAGTCATGAAGGAGGTAGGAACAGGGGTCAAGTCCTGGGCTCAGCTGTTGAGAAATGAAAAAAATATATATATTTTTTCCTTTTAACCTAATGATTTTTTTTCTCTTTGAGGGGAATGTAAAACAGGCTGGACTGTTGACGTGCCCACTAAGGTGACAATCGTTAAGACCATTCATCTTTTTTTCTTCAGCGTGGAATAAGGGACAACTACTCATAATGTTTACTTTCACACTAAGTTTAGAGTCTGAAACAATGAGGAGCTGCAAGAACACTGAGAAACAGGAAATTTAATTCGCAGTTTTGTTAAGTTCTTGCTTATCCTTTGCAAACCATTCATGCATCAAAGGATTTGTAGCAACTTCCCTTGTTCCTGTTTGGCATCCCCTCTACAAATGTTGGGATCCCAAAGCATTTCTATACTCTCTGCTACTCTACATTTTTTTTCAGATAAGGCAGAATTCTGTTGGAGTTGTGCTAAATGGTAGGTTGTGGTTGTGCATCACTGAATCTTCAGCCTGGCAGAACTAGAAATGGTAAGAAGAAAGATGAATTTCAGCCTTGAAAATTTTAAAGCACTTCAGATAACATCAATTCCACAAAAGTCTCCGTGCCCTCCCTTCATTTGCAGAGAGCTGAGCAGAAGTCTGCACTAGCCTCAGTAATAAAAGTGTGTGTTGAACCCCACAATTAAAACCCGTACAAGACCAGCTCAGCTCACTCACATGAGAATAAAAGGGCTCAAAATTCATGTCAGAGGAAGACAGATGCATTTGTTTTCTATGTTCATAAAAAGACCCAGGAGAAAGAAAATGTTTCAAAATATCACGAGGGCACAGGTCTGTTTCTATAAAAACTCCAGTTTAATCTCATGGCTGAGACCTGGCTAAACATGTTTGTGGGTGTTGTTTTTCTTTTTTTTTTTAAGCAATAAGGCACAAAAGCAGTCAAGTCCACACAGAGAACAAAGCTTAACAAAAATACAATTCATCAAGGCTAGCAGGAGAAATAATAACAAGGGTGGGGACATGGGGGACAATCCTTTTCACAGTGTCTGATTTCCAACCCTTCCCTCAACATGGCAACAAATGGGTACTTTGAAAGGGACCAGTGCTTCCAATAATGTCTTTGACTTGGGCTGTTGCATGGAGTCCTCAGGAAGCACTTGCCTCCTGCTTTCCTTCCCTTCCAGTCCTGTGAAAGTCCTACTCCAGCTCCAACTGAAGCCACAGGCAAACTTCCCATTCCATGTTTGGTGCAGGATTAGTTTCCAGAAAGCTTTTACATTGATTGGAAGCAGGCAAAGCTAAACATAATTGGGATCAGCTACAGCTTTCCCCCTCCTATAGATGCCCAGAAGGGATTTTTCAGGGACTGAGAGAGAAACTGCTGGTGGAAAACTAAATCAGCCCTTGCACTCTGGTCTCCCCCGATCCCACCTCTACTCTCCCAGGACAGGATCCTGCTGAGGAAGTCAGCTTCAGGGTCTCTGCCCACCACAGATTAGCCAGAAGTAACTAGCTTCATCTCTGCGGGCAAAAAGCCATTTGCTTTCTCCTCCTCAGTGCTGGAAAAGTTGCAGCAGAAATAGCTCTATACATCTGCCCAAGTTTCACAGATGTGCAGGATTCTATTTAGACAATTCCTTCATTTTAATTACATTTTCTTTTTAATATATTTATATATAATGTTCTTTTTTATATATATATATATAAAAATTAACACAATATTCACCACTACAGGCATTTCAGAATTCGTAAAGAAAGAAAAAAAAACATCAATTGCACCTTTTGGACTCTGGATGAGGGAATCTCTAATGCAGACCTAAGTTCCTCTGAAGCCCTAAAGGTGAAAAGAGAAGTGCTTCACTCTTTATTACCAGATAGAATGGGATTGGTGGCCCAGAGGAATGTTCTTTATAAGACAAAACACAATCCTCATTCCTGCTCACCCTCCCTCCAAGGCAGCTCCCACAATAGCGAACATCTACTCTTGTCGTTTCCAGTTGGTGTTTCCCATCTTTGCCAGCTCAACCATTTCACAGTGGGCAATGCTCCTGTTCTCGGCGGAAGTTTCAAAAAAAAGAAAATAATAATAATAATAATAATAATAATAATAATAATAATAATAATAATAAGGGCAAAAGTGAAATGAGCTGCCTTTTCTCACATTGCTAAACCCGCTAGCTACTAAATCTTGACTGAGGCCACCCAAAAACTCACAAAGAAGGCCTTAACACTCTTCAGAACCTTGGGGAACAGAAGGTCCTCCACGGTCTGCAGCATGAACTTGCAGACACTACAAGGACCTGCAAATGAGGCACCATTCTAATCAGGAGGATCCTTCCATAATGCCAAGAACAACCAACTCAGCTCTCCCTTTTACCAAAACTTCAATTTCTGGGCCAGATCCACCTCCCATAAGTCTATTCTATCCTTCTCCTTCTCAAAATAAACCAACAAACTCGGAAACAAACAAAAAAAAAATTAAAAAAAAAACCTCTATCTTGCTTTGAACCTCCAGTTTTGAGGGGTTATCATAAATGGTAGCTATTTGATAGCCACAGTGAACGAACCCCAAACCCTGAACTTCGGAAGAGCTTCCAGGCTGGTTCAGTCTGCTAGTGTAGGGTAGGACAATATAAGGTGTCTAAAGTGAACATGACATCAGACCTGACCCTTAAGCTGATCTCAGTCAGAAAAAAAAAAAAGGCTTAATAAAGTGAGGTTTCAGGAAGGTGCAACCATGCTATCAGCACCATTGAACAGGGGGGATGGCTTCTGTTTTCTGGCTTTGTCCAGCTATATTAAGCTGTGGTCTTCAAGCCAACTAGCAACAGGAACCCACCATCGAGCATGACAAACTGTACAGAAGTTTGGTTCTGGGTTTGGGCATGTTAATATCTGTACAACAAACTAAGCAAATATTCCCAGTTCTGCAGGACCTAGAGCTTTACCTCAGCTCTCTTGATACAAGGCCAGTCATGACCCTAAGTTACCTTGGTGTGCGTCTGTTAAGTCCACCTGGCTAGGCTCTTGGAATGAAATCAGCTGAAGGGTGGAGCTGGAACTGTAAATAAAGATGGGATCAAGCTACAAAATTCAGATCTCATTTCAGAAGTTCTGGTTAATCAACACTCTGGACCTGAATCGGAGCTCTAATTCTGAAGCATCTTCAAAACTACAGTCTGGATCCAGATTTTAACCGAGGTAAATTTTTGGTAGTAAGTAAAATTCTCTAATAATTTTCTTCTTGCAGGAATTTTACCATTTACAGCAACAATGTTATTACTTAATGGAACACTGTTAAGAATTAAGACAGAAGATATATTTATATATACAAATTGCCAGGAGCTCATTTCTTGTTCATAGATCAGTTTATATGAGAAAAAGGAGGGGAAAAAAGAAAAAGGATGGTCTTAAGGTGCCAAAGTTTCAGAACATTTTCTTTCAATACTTTACTTTCTGAGTCTGGCTGGCTCTCTCCCAAATGCTTTGGCAGTCAGAGCTTCTAGTAACTGAGAGGAGAATATAAATCCCTGCCCAAAGCAAACCATTTCATTGACATCAAAATTTGGGCGCCTTTTCCCCTCCCATTACATTCTCTAAGGCTTTACCATAGTACCTGTATCACACCTTCCCSAGTCATTTGCCATTAACTCTCCTGTGGCAGTTAAAAGCTTTCCCATGAGGCAGAAAAAAAAAGTTCTTGAGTGTCACATTAAGGCAGTGCACAGCTTTGCCAACTATGAAGAACATGGAGACCTAGCAATCCCCTGGTTATAACAGGAGGCCACAGAGGGATTTTTTTTTTTTTTTTTTTTTTTTTTTTTTTTTTCCCTTTTTTTTTACTCTGGGAATAGGCTAATATAATTGTCAAAAGCTGCACATTCTGGACTCACCCACCATGCTTGGCCCAGTAAACCACTTGCTAACATCTGTTGGAGAAGAGAAACTCAAACAAGAACCCAAGACTATTTTCAGAATTAACATTCTCCCTGAATGACACATGGAAACTTACTTGTCTACTCTGTTCCCTCCTATACTGCATTATACACAAGTGAAGAATAAAACAAGGAGGATCAAATATGCAACTGGTGGCAGGAGCAAAGCCCACTGTTTTATTTCACTCTCTTTGCATAACGCAAGAGAATATGCTGCTAAAGATACGTTCCTTGCATATGTGGCACAGAACTTGTCAGAAGTACTCTGGCATCTCTTCCATTGATAAAACAAAGAGAATTTAAGAGAGAGCATCATCGAGAACCCAGGCCCACCAGCCCAAATGACACTAATTAAGTGACACTTTCAATACAGTCCAAAATTACATGGGCTCACTTTACTATGAGTCTGAAAACAGCAACACTGCAGCAGCCTTTAGCAGAGACAGGATCTAAGCACGCAGCCATTGAGAGCTTTAGGTGACATCCACTGTGGTGGCTGTAGCATTTCYTACCAGCTGCTCGGTTACAGTTTAAGCTACAGCCCATAAGATCCATCAGAAGGCCTGCAGACTGAAAGACCTCCATGAATGATGGTCCCTGCAGACACCATTACAGGGACAAGCCCAAAGCTGGCAGCAACACCTGTGTTCCCGTCTCCTCCATAGTCACTAGTGACAGTTAAATTGCAGAGACAGCACAGGCTGTACCTGACTTTGCCATCACCCACAGTCACATACCAGGCAAAAGATGAGCCTGCAGCTAACTCAGAATTATAACAGAAGCTTTAATTCTGTTCCCACAGCAGCTGTTACTTAYATGAGCATGTATTTGCCTGTAATGATAATAGCCCTTCAGGACACAGATTAATTCACTTCAAATCTCCCTCTCAGGATATAGTTCATGATCTGATCTGTGGTCCTACAAATCACCCTCTTTACCATTCTTCTAATCAATCTGAAAGCATACAGGGACAGGTGAAAGCCAGCCAAGCTCTCAAAGAAACTGTAAAATCACAAGAAGAGGAAGTTTAAAGGAGGAAGAAGCACCGGGGAGACGTGCCACACTGTCATGGTGAGAGACCAAGGGTCACAGACATGTCAGAGTGCAAAAGGGCAACAGCCCAAGGACATGCAGATCAGTAGATACCCTTGCTTTTCTCTGCTCGTGGCCATATGGAGCACAGCTGGAGATAGCTGCAGAAGTGTCATCTGGCTTTAAGCAGTGATGAGAATAGTTGATACTGGCCTTTGCTATGACCATATCTTCAATTTCACTGACACCAGCCTGAGTATCCTACTAGCCTGAGTATCCTCTATCTCTAGATAGCCAGCWACAAACCCCTTCACACCCAAATCTTGCTTGCCAAAAGGTGTGGCTGAGCACAATAACATTTATGAGCAAGATTTGGAAGATTAAAAGAAAAAAAAACGGCTTTTCCTGTCCAGCAACTTTTATTTCAGCCCTACCACATGCTGGAAAGAGCACACATTTCATGCAACAGAAGAGCTGAAGTCAGCACCTTCACATCATATGTTTGCCACCAGACCAGCCTTGGGTAACTCACACCRCATGTGACTTGGCCACACCTGCTTCACCTTCTGCTTTAGCAATCACAGATCTCCTACACTGCTTACTTATGCTATCCAAACCAGGCACACGAGAAGGACAGGTATGGTACTTTAATGGTGGTCGGGGAAAGAAGGAAACATGTCCCAAACATCCTTGGCAGATGTGTGCCCTTGGGCTACAGTGATTTGGGACACTGGCTTCTCCCAGCCATTTTCTACATATTCCAAGATTAATTGCTCCTTTTTTTTTTTTTTTTTTTTTTTTTTTATAGAGAAGATAAGACTTTCACAGGGAGTGTTAGACAACATGAGGAGAAGGCTCAAATTCCTTTGGACTGGCTGACAAAAAAGCAGAATGTGAGGGTCTAACAAAGGGTGAGAAAAGGAAGGAAAAGGAACACAAAGGCCCTCCATAGCAAAAAGTTTTGCAGGAGACAGCAAAAGTTTTGCGTCCTTTTTGCACAGAATAATTATGACAAAAGCAAGAATGACAACAAACTTGGTCTAGGTGTAGACCATCCCATCCACCAGGGACAAGGAGTAAGGGAAGCTGTTGCTATTCGATCTGCCTCCCACTTCGTCCATCCAGAATCACAGAGCGCCTCTGGGGCTGGTAAAAGCAGCTGGTAGAGGTCTCCAGTCTTTGGCCATTTTTGGGTATGGTCATTTTGTTCCGCAGAGTGACCCCCTCAGGTGTTGTCCGCGATGTCTCAGACAGGTCGCCACAAATGGGGCTTGAAGAGGTGGTCTGAGTAGGGCTCCTTATGGGTGATAACAACACCCTAGAGTCTCCTGAAGAGGATGGGTGGTCCATAATGGGGAAAGGGGGACTGAAGAGAATCAGACTTTGGGGCCTCCCAGGCCTAGATCTGTAGGAAGGCTTGGAGAACCCTGAGGGCCTCTCCATCTTTGAGGACTGTGGGGTGTCTCCAGCAGACTCACCCTCAGAGGTGCGCTTTCGGCGCATAACAGGGGCATCCAGGCCAGCACTATGACTGGACTGAGATGGCTCCAGTGGAGAGTTGAGGCTGCCGTGCCAAGGAGAGGTTGAGTCCTTTTGAGCTGGATCACTGTTTTCTTTTTCTGCTTTGGCTTTCTTCTCTGTCGATGGGCTCTTTGGGGTCTCCGGATGGCCCCATGCTACTCGGTGAGCTTGCCTGCCAGCCTGCTTGGTGTCTGCTTCCTTCTTCTCTGCCAATAAAGCAGCATTCTGAGCCTGCAAAGGCTGAGGGATCTGGGTGTACTGAATCTTGGGAGGTATCACAGGTACAGCTCTAGCCTGGCACATCTTAATCATGAAGGAGGTTCTGACTGCTGACACACTGACAGGGGCAGAATTCCGACGGCCAGTGGTGGCATGGGCCACTGCCAGGTAATCCAAGTCTAAATCCATGTGGGCATTGAAGTGAGACCCCCATGGAACACCTTTACTCACAGCAGGGCAGGCAGTTGGAAGGGATGGGACAGAATCACTGCTTTTTACTTCCTTTTGCCCATACAGGAGGTTCCCGGGGGCAGATGGCATGGCAAGGCTCTCAAAGGTGAAGAAATCTGGGGCTGGAAGAAGTGAATCCAAGTTGAGGGATGATGGCCTCGTCCTCCCTTTACGCAGTGTGTCTTCACCTTTATTACTCAGCTGTGCTTCAGTGGCAAAGCACAGTCCTTTGGTAACAGTCTCTCCTCTCAGCACAGTGTTCTGAGATGTGGATAACTCCTCCTTTGTGTTTTTTGTCTGTAAAGAACTGTCTGGGGTATTTTGGTATGGCATAGACAGCTCAGGCTTTGAGCTCCAAGGGTTTTCTTGGCTTGTGTCCACTTTCTTTTCCTCTGGCTCTGAAGGAGTGATTTTGGAGAGTGCCTCTTGCTTGGCTGGCTCTCCCTCTCTGCTGAGGAGATACCTTGGTCCCTCAGGTTTCAAAGGCTCTTCTGGAGTGCTCATACCATTTGCATTGTGCTTAACTTTGCCCATGCTACAAGGGGAAACAGGTTGGGTTTGGGGCTGCTCACAAGTCCCTGACAGAATGTCACTGCAAGCTTGTTGCTGTTCGGTGACATTGGTGAAAGAGAAGGGGATAGTCCAGAGACTCATCACTGTGTCTTTACTATCCAGGGAAAGGCTGCGACTGAATCGTGGTCTGACAGAGAGGCCTGGCTCTGCTCTCTGACGATGTGGCTGTATCTCCTGTATCAACTTTTCTTGAATGTCCTTAAAGGTGGGGGAATGAAGTGGGCTGGTGACCCACTGATGATCCTCCCATGGCTCTACAAGTTCTAAGCTCTGCACATTATCTGTCCAAGTATCTTCTTCATCCTGATCACCAGCATCATGAGTTCTGCTAACGGGACTGCCCTCCTTTGGCTCCTGGATTCCAGCTCCACTCAGCACCTTGGAGGAGAATGCATTCCTTCCATCAGCAGTCATTTTCTCAGGCTTCTCCTTCTGGTCTCTGGTAATATTGTCCTCTTCCCCCTGTAGCTGGCAAATATCTTTTTCTCTCTCTGGCTCTGAACATGCTCCTTTGCAACATGAAAATTTTCTTGGTGAAATCTCATTAAATTCTGCTTGCTTATGAAGCTCCCAGTCCGGGGTGGAGGTGAGACATTCACTCATGCTGTCCTCCATGACTGGACAATGGTTCTTTGGAGTAGTTGTAGCAGTCAGAAGAGTAGCTGGTTTGGGTAGGGCTGGAGCACAGCTGTGATGGGCAGTCACTTCAGACTGGCAGTTATGGAGGTCATCTGATTGTTCTGTACTGGTAGCACCACAAACAGGCTCCAGAGATGTAGTCTGTGCTGTTCTGCCTGCAAGTTTCTGCTCAGACAGATTGGGAGCCTTCCCTGAGCCAGAGGAAAAGCTATCTGTTTGTACTGAAGAAGAGGATTCAGAAATTAAGCCTGTCTTTGGGACAGCTGCTGGCAAGGGCAAGAGCTCTTCAGGTTCAATGATTTTGAGTTCCTGTTGTATCTCTGGCCACAGAGGCTCCAGCAGGGCATTAGCAGGGTCCTCTTCGGTCTGAAAAACAGAAGAAATGCCATGACTTGAAAACTTGTAGCTTATCAGCAGACACCTCCCATTTTCCTGGGACAAACTCTTGGACAAGAAAACTCACGGGAAATATGCACACATTCACTACTTCCCGCCCAGCTAAGGAAATATATCTATAAACAAGCAGGTRTATGGAAGAGAACATCTGAGGTAGAGCCAGAATGATGCCTGAAAAGAGGCCTGCAGCTACGAGGTTTAGGTGAATGAGTAGCTGGAATATCCTAGATTGCTTCTCAGCTCTTCCCATTTAACGCTYCCATGGCATTGACAGAGATTCTGCATTCGCAAATCACTGCTGGCAAATGCAGCATCCCACTTCATTGGAATGAATAATCTGTTTAAGGATCTATGCCAAGAGATCTTTAAATAGCTGTCCAGAGATGAGTATCACTGTAAGGAACTTGGTGAAAAAACTCAGCTAGGGATGCAGAGGAGGCCAAAAGAAAATGTTGGAGTGTTTGCAGAATGGAGGAGAAAAGAAATGTTCAGGCTGTCCAGGAAATGGGACAGCAAAAGCAGGAGAGTTAAGAGACAACTGGCCAGAATGATCAAACACCTGGAGAGACTCATATCTGAAGAGACTCACAATTGATAGATTGCACCGGATGTAACTGCATAGTTACAGGGAAAAAAACCACACACATACAAACAGCGATAGTAAGTAGCTGCCTAAAGGTAAATAAATGGTCATGCAGACAGAAGTGACATGTATACATGGTCAGTTTTTGACTCTTCATAACCTAGGTCTAATTTTCCCTGGCTAGGGACACACAGCGAAACTTTCAAGAGCTTTCTGGTCACTATTACCACTGTCCTCCACTTTCTTTTCTTTTTTTCCTCACAGCTGCTTGCTTACCAGATCTCTTAAACGCAATCCTTCCTCTGTCTTAGCCTTCTGGATGTCCTGCTGGCCATAGGTGGCTTCTGAGGAACCTTCCTTCATCTTGGGCTGCCCCGGTTCTGCCTTGTCTGCAGGCAGTGACCCAAGGCAAGTCTCTAAGGTTGGTATCGCATCCAAGCTGGGACTTTGTTCTGGGGATTGTTGGGGGCTGCTGCTTGCGCTGCTGCTCTGCCCACGCGTCTCCTGATTTTCCGCTGCTGGCTGTGGAGTTTCTAAGGACTCCAGTTTCTTGTCTTCCACTGAGCCCTCAGGATGTGAACCTGGATTTAGAAAGACAAATGAACTATGTAGCTACTTGAGACCAAGAGCATGTACCTGACAGTGGCCCCTGAGGACCACTGAGGAAGCTGTACTGGTTCAACTTGACATGAACAAATCTAGGCATCCCTCTAGGCACAACAGGACATTGCTATGAGGCACCCACCTGCCCAGCCTCATCACCACAGAGTGCACCAACTTGGTTGGTCACTATCACCCCCTGGCCCCAGCACACACTGGTATCTTTCCTACCATGTGAGCAGACTACAGCAGCCTTGAGGCCACTGGGACAGTTAGGGCTCTCCCTAAATGTCTTTTACCTCTGGATTCTGCTGCTGTCAGGGCAGGTCCAGGCTGCTTGTCTTTCCTCTCTGGGACTGGGTTTGTCCTTGTGAGGCTCCCTGCGTCCAGGACAGTGACAGCTGGGCTCTCGGGCACCAGAGAAGACAATTCCTCGAGGCTGGAGAGTGAGGGCTTGTCCTTGGCAGACACACGACAGGGGGTGCTGTTGGTGCTGATGACTGCAGATACCCGGAGAGGGACAGAGACAGCAAAGGGCTCTGAGATGTTCAGGGCTTTCCTTTGGTGACGAGGGGAGGCTTCCAAAGGAAAGAGGCTGCTTGGAAAGCCTGATTTGGCAGTTGCTTCCGAGGTGTAGAACATGCGACCACTTTTGGGGGAGGTCTGCTCATTTTCAGCATCTTCTGCTGCCCGGAAGACCTTCAGCTGCTCAGGGGGTGACTTTGCCTGTGACGTCCATGGGGCACCTTTCTCCCCACTCAGCTCAGAGCTTCCTTTGGCCCCCACCACAGATCCTTCCTGCTCCCACTCGTTCTCCTTGCTGAGGTCGTATGAGCTGCCCGTGCCTCCTGTCCGTATTTTCATCACCGGGACAAAAAAACCTCCTGTAGTCACTGCCCGTTTGAATCTGCTTTTCTCATCCTCTCCTAAAGCAAGGAAGATACAAAGGTGTCAGTGGGAAGCAAAACACTAACAGTAGCTATTTTTCTGTGAGGCTCCCGTAGTTCTTCAGAGGGACAAAAATCAGTGAGCATCTTATAGGCTCAAGCAATGGGGCTGCCTTCAAACTTGGCAAACAGGATTGGAGAAGATGCCCTTCAGAGGGAAGCATCTTTGAGTTTCATTAGAAGCCCTTTGAGTCAAACCCAACCAACTCTACTTACTGCTGGTGAGCAGTGCACACCAAGATCACAGCCCAGGGCTTATTTCACACACTTCTCACCGTGTTATGCTATTTACTTTATAAATGGGATTTTTGTGCCCACTGGGATAATCCAAAACTGAATCAAAACCATCCTGCTGCTAATAACGACACAACCAGGCACAGCGATCATTCTTGGGCACACATAGCAGTGTAAATGTATACAGATATGGGTTAAAAATGCACGCACACCAAGGCAGAGGCACATGTCAGAGGACTTGCCATAAACACACATGAATATACATGACTGAAGTAAGCAAAAGACAGACCCACAGCCTACATGGAGGAACAGGATACAGAGAGGCCCTGCCCTTCATTCTTACAGCGCAGATTATGTTTCTCACCTTCCACAGGCAGGGAACACAGCGAGTCCATACTTTTAGCAGGCCGAATAGTTGCTTTTTCTGAGACAAAAAAAAAAAAGAGTTTTAGAAATGCGCTTCAGATTCTGTAGTTTTGCAGGCTGCAGCCCATAAAGAAGAAGGGCTACATATAGACAAGCATGCCAGACCAACATCAAAGTTAATTTCTATTTTCAAGCACACTCCCTCTGTATCCACACCAAGCATCTTATTGCCCACAACACTTGTTCACACAGCTGGGGATCAGCTAGTGCTAACAACAGCTTTGCACCTGCCAGACATGTGCAGAACTATACTTAACCCAGCACCATCTCTCCTGTGAATCACATAAACATCTCCAAAACCATTTTGCTCCATTCCTTCCCTTATCACATCAGGCCATTGGTACTAWGGACTTTTTCACCAAACTGACATTAATGCCTTCTCATTTGTCATTCTTTATAACAAATGTTAGGTTAATTTTTACATTGCACTCCCAGACTGTTCCAGTGGCATGAGCATATTCTGCCTTAAGCAAGCACTCTGGGAAATCTGTGAGGAAGGGCAATAAGGAGCCTGTTTTCCTGGTCATCCTCACTGGGCTTACATGTCTGGAAATAAGCTGTCATTTGTCACAAAACAGTCTACAGGTCTGTTCCTGAGAGGTTTTGGAAGGATATAACTGGTACTGCTCTACAAGGCAGAGAAGGGGGGAAGGCAAGAAAGACAAGTTAGCTACTGGCAGCCCAAAAAGGATCAGTGGAGCTCTGGAAAATGTCTGGAAGTGAAGTTTGCTATTTACAATGCTGTAAAAAGTACGTATGGCAAAAAAAGTGATTTGTTTATATAATTAAGGGTTCTGGGACTGACATTCACACGAGCCCAGGAGAAACTCCAGCTACTTTTTACATTTAGATGGAATCCTGGCTACCTTTCACATGCACATGGCATGATGTCCTGAGTACTGGGCTCAGCATTCCCAGAGTAACAGAATTCAAACTGTGAAACTCAAGTTTTATGTGACTTATAGACTTGCATGCAGGGACACAAATTAACCTAAGGCACATTCTGGGTTTCAATAGCAGGGTGATCTGTTTCCTTACATTAGGCTGCAAACAGAGAGTGCACAAAAATTCAGCACTAAAGTCCAGATAATCAAAAAGCTTTAATTCAATGTCTAAATCTCTAGCACGGTTCTGCTACGATAACACGCAGCCTCCGTCCACATAGTACTGTGCCTGGAACAAGGTACAGCCCCCACCATCAATAGGCTCCAAATATTATTGAACAATCCTGGGTTAGCACTATTTTGGGGCACAATATTCCTTATAATCCTAAGAAGCTGGTCTGATGATCAAAATAGGATGGAAAGCTATTCCAAGGACATGGGCATCCTGTGTGAGGTTGTCTGCTTATGCAAAACAGAGGGGAAGGCAAGGATCCAAAAGGAGCTGGATCCAGCACTTGACTTCACACTCATATCTCATTCATATACAGGCACTCTTGTATGAGATGCCAGCTAATGTTGCCAACTTGAACTCTTTTCTTCTAAGTCTTGCAATGTCTGGTAGCATTTCCCTGAACACCTGCTCCCAGGGTCACAGGATTACGTAAAAATCACATCTTCACACCTTTATTGTCTTTTTTTAAAGCAAGTTTCTAATCCTGAAAATGTTTTAAAAAACAATATATAAAAAGGATACAACACTAGACCCCAATCACTAAATCCCTTAGGAAATCAGATAAGAAGTTATATCTTCTTTTAAATATCTTTTAAAGTCAACTTCATGGTTTTGAGAACTTGACTCATCATTTCTGAATGCTTGGAATTGGCACCACCAGGCAGGTTTCTGGGAAGCACAACACTTAAGAAATTCTAGCTCAGGAGAGGTTGGAATTTGGAATTGTAGCCAGAAGGAAAAACATATTTTTACTTGTAAATTCTGCAAAAGTAATCACTTCCCTCAGAGACACAGGAACCATAAGAACTTACAATAGTGTAAGTGCTGGGTAAAGAATGATAGGAGCTAGAGGCTGACAGGAGAAGAAAAGTGGACTAATCCAACCCAATGTAACACACAGCATCTCCTAGTCCCCAAATGTGACAGCTGGGCAATGGGAGCCTGTTTATCACAAGACCAAAATGGAATATTTACTGTGGCTGTCTGGTATATCCTCCTCAAGGCTGCTTCTCGCCATCATGTGAAAACAAGAAATCTATGAAAGCAGGCAACAAACATGGCCTTTCAGCCAGTTTACTCTTAGAATCATAGAATCATAGAATGCCCAAGGTTGGAAGGGACCTCAGAGGTCATCGAGTCCAACCCCCCTGCTCACGCAGGGTCACCTAGAGCACGTGGCACAGGGCTGCATCCAAGC